GCCCCCGCCCCCCATTCATCCCCCCTCACTCCCACCTCCCCAAACTGACCCAAGGTCCCAGTCATTGTCCCCCAACACCCCTATACCTAGAGCTGCGGGTGCCCCTCACTCCCATCCCGGCCCCCTGCCATTGCAGCTCTGCCCCAAAGGAAAGACCCCCCCAAAAAAACCCCCATCAAATTGCCCTGAGCCTGAGACCCTGCCCCTTGCCCCCATCCACGGGCAGATGCTGCCCCCTGCTGCCCTCCCCTCTGGCTGCAGCCGGGGCCCTGCCCGTGGGGGTCTCATGCGGGGGGTGGGGGGAGCACCAGGAGGGGCCAAAGACCTGGTGAGGAGGCGCCAGCCCCTGGGCCTGGGAGGTGGTGGGGAGCGGTGCAGCGCAGGGGCGAGACCCTCCAGCCAGGTGCCGGCAGGAGCATGGGCACAGCCCCAACCCCGGCCTGGGCTGGGCTGGGTGGGACTGATCCTGCCGCAGGCAGGCATGGACTGGATGCGACCCCACGGTGCCGTGAGTCCGCGCAGGTTGGACTGACGTTGGTCTGGGCTGATTTGGAGCAGGGGGCTCAGGAGGGCCCGTCCAGCCCTGTGTCCGCCCGAGCTCCCTCGAACCCCTCCAGCGACGGAGACGCCCCCCTTCCCCGGCGTCTCCCCCCGGGCCCTTTTCCAGTTCTCCGGTACCGGCCCCGTCTCCCGTGACTCTATGAAGATCATGGCCAAGGGCACCGCGATCTTTCTCTTTTGTCCCTCGCTCGCTCCTGGTCCGCGGCCTTGGTGTTGGTCTGCATTGGCTTTTCGGGAACACTGCGCGTGTCTACACATGCGTTTCAGCGTGCCTAAATTTACTACACTTTAGCTTAATGACTAGCATGCAGGTCTAGGCAGGTGTCTGCATGTGCAGGTGTTAATGCTGCGTGTGTGGAGTGACAAGGCAGCCCACACACAGCGTTAATGCGCTTTAACACGTCTACACATGCATGAATGCACTTGAATTATTTGCTCCTAAATTTGATCCCTGCAAATTTAGGCACGATCAAAATCACCATGTTTAAAGCACGTTACGGGGCACCTTAAATGTCGGCTAATTTGCCTGAAAGTGTGGTTTTGAAAAGGGTGTTCAGCTGGTGGTAGGCATCATCACTGAAGACCAATGTGTGTTGTGCTGTACAAAGACACGCAACGTCTCCCTAAAACGTAGGAGCCCAGAGCTGAAGCAGTCAAGACAGGAGAAAAAGAAATCTATTGGAAAAAGCTTGAATTTGCTGTGGTTTTTGATATCTGACGGATGCTGTAGCCGATTGGTGAAAGGAATCCAGAGCTGCCGTCTCATTCATCCCGCCGCTCTCAGCATTACGTCTCTTTTTCTGATTCATAAACCAAAATCAAGCCTCTGGCCTGCGCCTCCAAGCTCCACTGATGGTGATTTCCACACCAGAGCTGATGTTTCCCTCAATGAACATTTCCACACCCGAGGGGAAGGTTTCAGCTGCGAGTAAAAAACCAAACCAAACCCCCCAATGGTCTGCAGGGCTGTGAAATGGGCACAACGTGACTAGGAGCAGCGAAGAGACAGAAGCATGGAGAGCTGGAGCGATGGGACCAGAGGAAATGATTTTGGGTTGTTCACACCTGTGAAATGAAGAGTTTAGAAGGAATAGAAAGGGGCGCGACAGCCCAGCGCACCCCCCAGACCCACCCCGTCCCCACTTGGATATCGGCCTGTATCTCCCTCCTCTCATCTTCCCCCAAGCGCCTCCTGCTTTGCTGCCTTCTTGCACCTGCAGCAGGGAAGAAGCCTGTGAACTTCTGACATCCAAGGTGGCCCCCCCCGCTGTCCCCACCCCGAAGCAGAGCGTGGCCCTCGCTTGTGACATGCCAGTTGTGGGTGCTGGGCCAGGCCCGTCTGGTTGGATGATGCTGTCTCGTGCCAGCAGCCCTCCTCCTGCTGCGGGGAGGACGGATGAGAGCGCGGCTTTTGTCCCAGGCTCCTGCCAAGAACCCTGTAGCCCCGTCTGAGCTGCTCGGGGGGCTTCCAGCCCCGTGGCCGGTGCCTCCGTGGAAGGGCCGTTGTCGGAGGGGCTCTGGGGACACCCTGCATACAGGCCCAGGCAGACAGCGCCGCGCAGGAGCCCGGTGCCAGCCAGGGACTTCTGTCCTGCGCAGAAGGGGCCCCCTGACCACCCCCACAGCCTCTGCCCTCAGGCTTCTCCTGGCCACGGAGGTTGTGGTCCCCCAGGCACGTGGGCATGCGGGCTTCCAGCCACTCCAGGCATCAGCTCACAGCAGGGTTGGGGGACACGGCCTCAAGCTTCTGGGCGTGCATTGCACACGCTTGTACACACATGAATCCTGTCTCTGGAGGGGTGTGGGTCTGTGGTTGTGGGAACTGTTTCCCTAATAGTACATACATGTATGCACAAGCACATGCACACACCATATATGTGCACATGCATATCTTATGTACACATGCACATATGAACACACTCACATACTGTCTCTGTACACACTTATGCACACCTCTTATGCACAAGCACATGCATACATATATATATACTATCTATGTACACATATGTACACGAGTGTACACATGCATATGCAGTCTAGGCACACACATATGCACATGCACAGACACCATCCATGCACATGAACACACATGTGCACATGCATGCACATACATACTGTCTATGCATGCACACATACACATCCTATATGCGCACACACCGTCTATGCATGCACATGCCATACTGACTATGCACGCACGCATGCATGCACACACATACACACCCCGTCTATGCACAAATACTATATATGCGTACACATCCATTGGCTCTCTCCTGCAGCAAACTCCTCGTCGCTCCCCTCCACAGGCAAGGCAGGCCGTGCCCGGCTCCATCGTGCTGCCTGTGCTGGTCCCGGCTGGTGCCCTGCGCTGCCCAGGGCTGGGCGTCGCTGGGGGCATGTGGCTGTGGCACTGCGCAGGCTCTGGCCGGGGCTCCCAGGGCCAAAGGCTGCGGGGTCAGAGCCAGGCACATGCAGCAGGGAACCTGCACCCATGCAGCACAGCCCTTCGGGGCCCTGCTCCCACCCCCTGCCCCACGCCCACCCCAGCAGTGGGTGCTGCAGCTGTGTGGGGCAAAACCTGGGCTCACAGCAGCAGGAACGAGGCAAGGAATTGGCATCTGGGCCCCGATTCTAGTTTCATAGTTTCTAGGGTCGGAAGGGACCTGAGCCGATCGTCGAGTCCG